CAACGGGGTTCTGCTTTAGAGACACTAATGATACTCAACTTCGCTTCTTTCAGATTTTCAACCTGATGAAATTTGACAGCTACGCACGTTTTGTCAAGTCTGCATTGTACCAAGCATGTGCAAAGGCGGACAGCCAAGGGCAGCCCTTGCCAGAACTGAGATCCAGCTCTCAGTCTGGCAGCCCACCCACCGAACATAGTAAGGTGGGAAGCTTTTACTTCCAGCCTAGAAGAAGGTGTGATTTGGAGGGATTTGGGAATGCAAGTGCAATAGATCTAGAGCTCTTACACTCTCTGGTTTTCTCTTAGAAAACAAAACTAAAGGCAGGGAAATCGCTACCGTTAGGAGTGGAGGTAGCTGGTAACCTGGCTGGGAGGAGTCCTCGGAGATCCTTTCGGAAAGGAGACCGGAGGGACCGTCCCTGGGGAGGTGAGTCCAAAGCTGAAAGTAGGAATACTGTTGAAGGAGGTGACAGAACAGGAATGATTAATAATTGGCCGAGTATTCTCCAAAGTCCTAACTCTTTGCTAACTATCTGTCTTAGAGGAGAGAAATGGTGGTGAGGGACCAACCCCCTGGCGTGAATCCCAAGGCTCTTTGAATTCTTCAGCTAGTCTGGACCTGGGCTTCCTATCTTATGCAACCAGTGGCTTGCAGGCAGAGGTGAGTGGTGTTTAGCTAGATTTTGAGCTGCAGCGTGTGAAAATATCCTCTGCTCTGTTTGTTGCAATGTGGGCGCTTGGCTCTTGCTTAACAGTATGCCATGCCTGTTACATCATAGGTTCTACCCAGCCTCCACACTCTCTCTATAATAGGCTATGACTGTGCTGTGTGGAGGAGTTCTCTACAAAGTAGAGATCTCTGCAATTGCTACTGAGAGCATGCTGGCATTTTCATGGCTGTAGCCTCTCTCCGAGCCTCTCTCAAGGCTGCCCTATCTTGAAACTGTTGGAAAGTTGTTGCTTGGAATGCCAGAGGGATCTCAGTTGGTGGGAAAACAGCCCTTCTCCTGAACATTATGGCCGATAAAATAAAAGTGGAGAATGAAATTATCCAGAGGAGAATACTCCTAGCACAAATCTAGAACCACCCAGCTGGATGATGTATTGTAAACCACTTTGTGCTCTTTGACACAGCATCTTCCCACTCTGTTTCCAAACCAAATCTATCCACATCATTGGGAAGATGGCCATTGATCGCTAATCTTGAAATGCTGAGGGGGACATTGAGATCACCATAAATCAGCCAGTGTTCCTTCCAGTTGATTATTAGGAGATTGCATACTGTATGTGTCATCGTTCAGTCAATACTCTGCCCTGAGCTATTGTTGCTTTTCCCGTAATCAAATTCCTTTGTGCATGTACACACAGACACAAACAGACACACCTACAGTACAGCCTCCCATGTTTCTATAACATGTTTTGTGTATCCTGGTCAGCTGCCCAAAATTCTGTGCTCCGATTATGAGGGGAAATGTTCCTGGCTTCCCTGCCTCTCAAATGAAATGATAGGCTCCCCATTTTTTACAGTCAAGGCTGCAATGATTGAAGGGGGATGGGAGCAGTGATAGGAATTGGGTCAACCTGGGCCGAAATGCTTCTGCAGTTATCATGGCCATGCAGCCATCTACAAAGCCATGCATGCTCCAGGCAGGCAAAGAAGAAGACTGAAGCAGCGGTAGAGCTGTCACAGTCACAGTGCCAGATGGCAAAAGGTATCAGACCGGGCAGGAAAATATTTGTTAGGTGCTACCTGTATTCCTGCCCCAGGGTCCCATTCCATCATTGTTAGCAACTTATTCTGTCACCCATTCACACCGCTTGTTTCCTCCCCCCCCCGCCCCCATGGGGCAAGTTAAAGAGGCAGTTCTATGGCTGCAACTCCTGCTTTTGCCAGTGATTTCTTTGCTACTTGCTTACTCTGTTTCTTCCCCGAGCCCCAGAAGGAATGGCAGAAAAAAAAGGCTTTCCATGTACTGTTACTTGAGAAGGAAAAAGAGTGTTAAGTTCTAGCTTTGTTCCGGTTTCAAAAAAAAGCACAAACACGTTTTGGTGCAAGAAAGATGCTAATTTTGTTTTCCAAGCATATTACTTTTATGTAGTGAGACAAGTCCAAAACTGTCTCTGGAATGGCCAGAGATACCAGAGACTGTCAAAGTCTTTTCCAAATAAATTATCCTTGGGAGCAAAAAAACCCCACCTTGCTCCTTGGTTGTAGGTGGTTATTTTTTTCGAGGTATGCCTACCACGCAAATAAAGAATTAAACATTCTATTCACGTCCCCATCTACCACGGTAGCTGATCGTAATAGGCTTGCCCTCAGAGAGGTACACCTCTTGAAGCTGAAAGCAAATGCTTCCCACTGTCTAATAAACAGATTAGCAGACAGTTCTATGGTTTTACAGCAAGTGACGCAGTAGATTGAGTTGGGAGAATTCTGGCTGAATTAATTCAAACTGCCGGTGGGAAGAAAGGAGCATTTCAATTCTGTTCTCAAAACAGGAAAATGTACATATTTGCATAAAGTGTAATTACCACGAGATTCACTGCCTCACGATTCAGTGCCAGCTGCTGGCTTCCATGGTTTTATAAAGGAATATATATATGCTGGCTGGTACAAGTGCTCTCCATATTGTTTTCAGTAGTTATCATTGATGAGGAATAATAGGAAATAGTTTGTGCTTATTGAGTTCCTTCAAGCAGTGTTATTGGTCACTGTGTAAAGTGGGAATATCTGGACTTTTTTTTTTTTTAATACATCAGGCTTTCTATAATACTAGATTTTCTTCTTGATATGCAAGTTTTCTTCACTGTGTTGCTTCAAATCATAAACCAAAAATCCATAAAGGAATTTTCTTTAAAATTTGCATCTTAATTGTGGTCTGAAGTCCTACTATCATCTCATTCTCTCTCTAGAGAGAGAGCAATTGAGAAAAGAGTTCTGATTCATTACTGTATGTGCCATCAAATCACTGTCAACTCTTAGCAACCATATAGATAAATCCCCCCCCCCCACAATGATCTGTCCCTGACTTGGTCTTTCAGGTCTTCCAACTGTACAGGAAGGGCGGGGGAAGCATATGTATTTTGTTTTAAATTGCAGGTTTGGATAAAAGCCTAACCAAGCTCACACCTACTATAAGTGCATGCATTGATAGATATACAATATTACTGATCTTTGACCTCAAGTAATTGTCTGTTGTGGACACTGAACTTTCAGGTTGAGATTGTAGTAGGTTAGTAAATGAAACTGAATGTGATAAGTTCTCTTCTCTACAGAACCACAGGAAGAGTCTGACTGGCTCGGAATCTGACAGTCAGAACCATCCCATTAAATATTGTTGCATTTATCTGCCTGATGGGACTGCATCTCTGGCCCCAGTACGTTCTGGCCTCTCTATCCAGGAGATGTTGGCTGGAGTTTGTCAGCGTCGTGGCCTCAATTTACCTGATGTAAAGATCTACCTTATGGGAAGTGAAAAGGTAGGTCCAATTTGTTTCAGGCAAAAAGGAAACATGAAGGGAAGAACAGCACTGTAGAAAACTAAAAGAAAGGGATTTTTCTGGGTAAAATTTAGATTGGAGCATTTGTAATTATATATCATAATTAAAGTTGTGAATTCAGAAATTATAAACAAAAAATATATTGTGGTTTCAAATTCACTTTAAGCCAATTTACTTGTAATCTCCAAATGCAATATTTATTTACTTTATCTAATTTAATTGAGCAGAAATTGGGCTTTGGGTGTAAATTGGGGTAATTTCCTGTTTATTTATTTATTTATTTATTTTTCACAATTTATATGCCGCCCTTCTCCCCACGGGACTCAGGGCGGCTCACAGCATATTAAAATAACACAACACAAACAACACAACACAACATTTCCCCTATAAAAGCCAATTAAAAACCAAATATTTGTAGTCTGTGACATTATTAAAATCATTAAAAATTATCCCTATTTAAAATTCACCCTAGGTCAGTCCCGCTTGCTGAA